AGTTTTATTCGCAGTAAATACTTTATAGCGGTTGAATTTTTCTTTTGTTTTCTTCTTTTTCTTGCGAAACGTAATACCAAAACACCTATTCTTTCGCTTATTTTATCAGAATGCGTTAACATTGCCCTCTACCTCCCCGGTCCCCTCCCTAAGAAATTGCAGCATTGATTTTATCTCCCCCGGAGGATGTATCAAACACAAGATTGTTTCAATTAATTCTAGATCACGCGAACTTAAAGTGCGAGTTGATGAGATGCAAGGTCACTTTTTGGGGGACCGAAAACTGCAACAATTCAGTTTTGGACAAAAGAAACTAAGCAGTTCACTTTGCTGATTTCCTAAGTGAAGCATCAATCGAGCTATCTTTCGCCAAACCGTTGAGAAAGATATACTTCAGTAGCATCTGGGGATTATTTTGAGCAAAGATGAACATCTGCAGCATTAGTGACGTTTTTCTGAGATACGACGGAAGACAATAGTTCAGCCTGTCAGATCAAAACTTGGGGGCTGTGGAAGAAATTCTACAGCTTCGCTCGCGTTCATTCGTGATCGAGTCTTCGATTGCGCACTTTTTACAAGTTTCTACTTGGCCTGTTAGGCCAAAATATACTTATGGTTCCAACCATGAAAGAGAGCACAAGTTTCAGCGTACAAGAACATACCAGTGCAGCATGTGTTTTGATAAATGGATCGACATTTTCCGAGAACCCGACAACGGACGTTTTGGTCGGCGAATCACCAGAATTCAAAACTTCCAAGTTATTTTTGTATTTCATCATTTTAGCGTTCAGTTCACTTGGCAATGGACTAGTCTTTTGTTTAATTTCCTGCAATCGCCGGCTTCGTCAAGCTTCGTCGAACAGGTTGTTGTTAAATCTGAGTGCTTGCGATTTTCTAACGCCATTATTGAGCATCCCGTTCGATTTAGCTCTGGAGGAACGTAGTTACGTGTGGCCTTACGGCGCGATAATGTGTCGAATGTTGTGGCCAGCAACGACATTTACAGCTACAGCCTCTGCCTTAACCTTGGCGGGCATTTCTTTAGACAGGTTAGTATAGAACGAGTTTTAAAATGAACCTTATAATTTACATGATTAGAGATACAGCGACGATTGTTTCACAAAAAGTTACCGTAGCAATTCTAGATAATTGGAGTTTGGTCCTTCGCTGATGGAAATTCTTAATCAATGCCAACGGAATTATTTATCACCAAATTTATTCCAAAAATTCAGATACTGTCAATTAATTAACTAACAGGAATTTATTATTCAAACGAAACCAGTGAGGAGGGAAGACACTTCTTTTTTTATTTTTTATTTTTTTTTCGCGCATGAGGTCCTTTTAATTAGTTATTTACATTTCAGCACAGTTCATTTGGCAGGGTCAGATAAATTATGCTCGAAAATTTGAACATTCTGCTTTTAAGCGTCACCCCATGAAAACAAGGCATTGTGCCAAAAATTATGTTCAAAATGTTTCATGATGCTAAATTTAATAATTCAAAATTATGGCTTTTAGGAGCCCTTCAGAACAAAATATTTTAGTGGATCGAATTCCTGAAGCGCAGACAAGAGAAGCAGGCACATTTGTGACAGTACTCAGGCCACAGAATTTATCTTTTATTGGACTGTAATATGGAGTGAATTTTAAACAACTTTAGCAATTGCGCCGACATCATGCTCGATGCTCTGGCTATAGAATTATGCCCAAAATTATAAAAATGTAACCCTTGCAAATGAAAAGATATATGCGTTGTTTACCAAGCGTGAGGTCGAGATGATATTGGCGGAGTCTTTTTTTTTCCTTTTTTTTTTTTGCATTTTTCGAGGTCCATAAAAACGCCCCCCAAATAAAAAACCTAAGATAATATCCAGCCATCTTGACCGAGCAAGCTTGCTCATTAAAAGATTAATCATATGGCAAAAACTGATTTCGCTTTGATAAGAATCAAGAATGACTTGTTTCTTTCGAGAGCCGGGAAAGGAAACCAACTGGGTCGTTTATGTTTTCTATGTTTGGACTGTGCTCTGCCGCTTTAACGACTCCATCACCGACACTGTCCAAAAATTTCGAACTTTGTACGGGCGCTTCACGCAGTTTTTTTCCTAGCACGGGATCACAGCGGACAAGATAAGCTCATCTTTCCCGCTCGGGTAGCCAATCAGAGCACAGGATTCGCTTCGTAATGCCCGCGGCCACTGCAAGCTTTATAATAAGATTACTTAGTGAAGTTGTGAATGATTCAAGCTTCAGGAGTTTTATATGCATTTTCGTTTCTATTTATAACACTCCGACGGAAATGATACTGACTTATGTTAACTGCAATACCAAGACATGTGTTTACTTTTCAGATTCCGCCTTCTAATGCACCCCTTTACCCCGCGTCTTACGAAAAGACAGATAACCTTTCTCATCTCAAGCGTTCATATTCTGTCAGCGGTTGTGGTGGTACCCTATGTCATCGTCTTAAAACTTGAAGATCACAATTGCGGGGAAGCATGGCCAAACTTCACCTCCAGACAAGCCTATACGGTAATCTTGTTCCTGGTACAGTACGCATTGCCTCTCAGCTTTATGACAGCCATGTACACATTGGCGTTGACGAAACTATATAATGTGACCAGTAACACGACTAAGATGCGCTCAAGGGGAGAAATACACCGAGATCGCGAGAGCAACAACAGCACAGAGAGAGGTAGGGGAGTGGTTCGGAAGATAAGCTCTCGCGTGGCTAAGAGCATGAGGCGTGGTTTCGAGGTGGAGTCGAATGTACGTGTGACAAAACTTTTCATCGTTATTGTTGCAATTTTCGCCGTCTTTATGCTGCCCAACCAGGTACTCTGGTTATGGTCAGATTTTGGCGGTGGACACACACACCAGGATTTGAACTCAATTAAGATTATCTGTTGGCTTTTCACGTACACTAATTGTGTTTGCAATCCTGTTATTTTTATGATATTTTGTAAGGAATTTCGAGCAGAGTTAGCAAAGATTCCAAAGAAACTGTGTTCGAACGGTCCCAGACCCCAGCTCAGCCTATCGCGGTCGAGTGGGCCTCCAACCCAGTGTATACCAATGATAGAATGCGTTTCCTCACCAAACCATTACCAGTCGCTAGACGATAAATGACTTGAAGGAAAACACACCATGATCGACGTGTAAAGCAGTTCGACTGTGAAATACGAATTGATGATATTAGCAAATTCTTAGATTCTTGAGATTTCAACATTGTAGTTTTAGACTGCATCAGTCTGACAAGTTGATGACAAAGTGAAAATTTCCCTCGTGGGTCTGTTGATAGTAGACTGGAAAAAGGTGAGAGAAAGTAAATCCCAGTAAACTACCGTTTTTTCAACAATCATCTAATTCAGAACATGTGAATAGTCACATAAAACTACTTCATGATACAACTAGGCCATTCAGGAAGATACATTATTTTCAAATAAACATAATAACAACGTAAAAGTGTGGACACAATGAAAATGGTCAGATTATTTCTTGCTTTCGCAGCAAGAAACTAAAGCTTAGATCCATAACTTAAGCGAAATGAAGTTCTTTGTTAATACCCAATACCATGGTCAGAGCAGTCACACAGTTTCATGTAACAATAACAATGATGGAAATGATGACCCAAATATGCAGAAGGAAATGTACAGTGAACGAACATAAAACTTCATGATTTCCCACAAGAAAACGGTTCCTGCCCCTTTTTGAGTTCATATGCATTCTTAATTGAAGACGGTCTCGTGGGCCTGTGATCGAGAGGAGACCAGGTATTACCTCGTTTTCAGAGAAGCTTATCGACGCTGAAAGAAAATTGTAAAATTTAAATCTCAAAATCATAAGATAAAATTGATAAGTGTTCTGAGATGAGGTGTCGGGTAAGACACAATTTGCAACACGCGCCGCTTATGTGACAAAATTCCATTAATAGCAGAAAATCAAAGTGAAGAGAAAAATGGCCATTAGCTGTAAACAGGATGTAAAAAGCAGATCAAGGGAGAATTGTAAATGGTGGTTATTACATGAGACTATCAGCTAAGAGTAAAAAAGGACAAATCAGATCATTTTCACATCAATTTTCTGTCAGATTTTTATAACAACATTCATGACCTTAAAAAACGCTAAATTAGTGTTTAAGGAATTCTCAAATGATTCACACAGAAATAGAGACCGTACTATTTTACATCGAATAGTGCCTTGCAACGCAAATTAGTTACACTTTATACACATCCTGCAAATTGAGCAGCATTATATTATCATTCAAGGCTTATTGAAAACGTGAAAAAACTGTACCACGCTTCCTTATAAAGTCACGGTTTATTCATTTGATTCAACGATTCTTTACAACGCTTCGGTTAACTCCTTCTCACAGCTCCTGGCTTATCCTAAAAGGACATAAAAAACGTGGGGTAGCAAGCACGTGGAACAAGGCCATATATGGGCGAAAAAAACACACGTGTTGCATACATGTTTGTTTGGTTATGTAATTCACAAATGAAATCGCTTACAAATGTCAATCAAATTAAGACTAATTAACGTATCGTACATTTTTCAACAGGCTCTAATATGAATAAATCTTTAAAATTGGAATCCGGTTCCTGGAGGCTAATCACTGCATCTCTTACAATTGCTATTTCGTGAAAAAAATTTATCAAGCATTTTTCGTGTCGTCGTCCAAAATTGACCAAAATTTATACAAATAACTTTTAATAGCAATTGAGAAGAAAGAAAGTCCTCATGAGGACTCATAATTTTTCTTTGTCCCATAAAAAAAGGTCCTCATTGGGACTCAGAATTTTTTCTTTGTCCCACGCTAGCGTTAAGACGAAAAAAAAACATCTTTCTCTAAAGAAAATATGATTAAGAAAAGTCGATTGCCTGAAGCGCGGGAAATACAACTGATGGACTAATTGACCGCGCCACAATTTCATCTAATTTCGTTTCTGATTGGTTTAGGGGGCAGCACCTTTTTTTTTTTTACACCAATCACGAAGCTTTGTCTGATAAAGACATACATTTACCGGTTACTATCGACACTGAACTGAAAATTTCTCCACAAGGAGAATTAGAATCAGTAGATGTAGCTCAGAATACAGTTTATTGCAGCACGCACCGCTGGAAGAAATTTTTTTTCTGCTAAGGACCGGTTTGATCGTAGGTCCCGGTACCTTTTCAGATTTCTGCTGAGTTCTGCGTGTGGGTGCTGTAACTGTAGTCGGAGGATAGTAAACTCTGTTAGGGCAGAAGGGATTGTAGCCGTCAAATAATATCTTCATGAGAGGTGATTCTGAGCCTTTCTTAGCAGGACATTCAATGTTTAAAAGATTATTTATACAATCCTTTGCCTTTGAGTACTCGCTGCAATATTAGAAATGGAATGTTAATAGAACTCAAGTCTTTTATTTAAAGTAAAAAATAGGGCAGGGCTCCCATTGATAGCAGGTGGCTCTTTAGGGCCTCTGACGGGGCTACCCTGAGGTTTATTTTTATTTTAAATAAAGGCATTCATCCAAAAATAATACTGAAAAAACATTGGAAATTTTTGCTCTTGCCTGAAGGGCTAAAGATTAATGCAAATAGATAAAAAACTTTAAAAAATGTTTTTGGGAAAAGTGCGAAATACTTGACCCGGGCCAGTTTCTTGAAATTCTTAATAACCGGAACGGGCCTAAAGCCATATTTGAAAAGCAAAATTTAAAGAATAAAGAAACAGGCTCTGGCACCTAGACCAGTCCATTTTGTTTCTTTAGCTGATATTTTAATTGTATAGTTCTCAAAACTTAATAAAAAATAAACAGAACAGCTTTACGGGTCCACTAAGTTACCAGGACCTTCGAGAAAGTGCCTCAGGACCGCAATCGGACAGAGAGGGACAAGAGGGGGGGGGGGGGTAGGGGGATCGGGACTTGTAAGAGTTTCACATGGGAGGTTCCTTACCCGCAGGTTAAATTCCTTCCCCTGGTATATACAAGTTTTGATGGGAAATGTTTCTCTATCAAACTATACATCCCTAAACCTTGAAAAGGACCTTATTTGGGCGGAGCCTTCTAGTATGGGCCTTTCTAAGGAGTACTCACTCCCTCGAGACGAGCGGGTCATAGCGCGCTCTCGTGACAGCACCATCTCCTCCTCAACAGACAATGATCGGTATAAATTCAACCCATCAAAGAAACGTTAAGGCTCGATCGGCCCCCAGAAGTGTCTCCTTAAAAGCCACTTACTCGCACAGCGACGGGTCACTGGTGTCGTTTCGAAACTTCCTATGGAACTCTCGCAAGCATTTCGGACCTTTTCTGTAGTAACCGCTCCCACACAAAGCCATGGGAAGAATCAAAGCCCCATCATGACAATAAAACTGCTTCCTGAATTTCAATCTGACGTCCATGTCTATCCATTTATCGCTTCGCCAACTGTGTTCACAAACGCGAGTGACGTTCTTGATGCAACTAATGAGACTTTCAAAACTATCACTGTCAAGAGAAATTAAAAATTGATTCAGCCTTTTCCTCAGTCTCTTTATTTATGAAGATCGATACACTGATTTTTTTAAAATGAAACTAGACGGGTAGATAGCCGAGATGAGTCGGGGGGGGGGGGGGGGGAGCACTATCGCATGGAAATCTGAGTGATGCTCGGCTGTCTCCAAAGACGAGTGTTTGGGACGATACGGTTATATTTGACTCATCGTTTTTTATCTTTAAAAAAATCAAATGAGACTTTAGCTACTCTCAGAAGATTAATTCAAACTTCTGATATGCCTTCCGATAATTTTCAAATGGGAGACTCCTCCTAGCTCGATCAGGACAGGCTGGGGGCATGGGGGGGAGCTGACATAGGTGATATAAACTTTAGGCCCTCCTAGGGCAAGCGAACGGATTGTTTTACGAGACTCTACGACATTACTTAAGGATATTAAAACAAACCTCCGACGAACTACCCAATATTTTCCATGTGGTAGCCCTTTTCTTGGGAAAGGCTGGGGGAGGGAAAGCGGTGATGTAAACTTTAGTCTCTCATAGGGCCCTCTCAGCACATCACTTAGGGGGCATCGTTTCGAACTTTAGACAGTCAAGCTCCTCAATATTTTTCATAAAGGGACATCCCTTTTGCGACAAGGAGTAGGTGATTTAAACTTTAGTCTAGAATCGGAGAGAAGGCTCTCTTTGAATAACACTTATTGTTAGAAGTAACATGCCTCTCGCACCTGCAGTTAGCTGTGTGACCAAGCTGAAGTCTCCGATAAAAAGGAGTCTCACAACTGCTCCGGGTTTCATAAAAATACATGTGGAGACTGCAAGAGCCGATATCGCCATCAGTTATTTGAACCATCATTTGAAAAACTGACACAGAGAACAAGAACGCAAATTAGAGAGAGATACCAATTCTCCTCATCACCAGCCATACATTTCTCGTAATTTTAGCTCCGAGAATTTGGTGTTGGATCAAACAATAGAGGGTAGGTGATACATTAAAATTTTTCTCTTGTCTCAGTAATATGCCTGAACTACTTTTGCAAGTGGTTGTAGTTCTTTCGGGAAATTGCACCCAAGAGAAAAAGGAACCCTTTTGTATTCATTAAATTTTCATGATGTTTTAATTAAACGCGATAAGGATGTCAATTTTTATTGTTATATGCTCCATTAAGGTGAGTATCAAAGTTCTGGAAATTTCTAGTCGGGATACAACTAGTTCGGATTTAAACTGTCGCTACATAGATTCTAGGACTATATTTCGGTTTAAAACCTAGAAAAGATTCCCTTTCTATCAGCAAATATAAAATATCAAAAGGAGTTTTGCCATTTAATCCTCATTTGCCATGCACAGCTCAATCAGGTTTCGTCCCCACAAAATAATTACGAATAATTTTTTGCGGAGCTGAGCTGAACCTCAGAAACCACATGGTGACAGCGTCTTTTTCATGAATAATTTTGAAAAGTTCTTTTTTAATTTTGAATTCAGCAACCTCTCTACAAACAAGTATAGATTCTTTACTTTTCGCTGGTAATGATTCTCGAGATTTTGCCACTCGAAAAAAACCAGTTAGGAGATTGAATCAACGAGGTCCCCTTTTAAAAGTTAGAATTAAATAGTAACTTTGTTGTATTTGCAAATATTACTTCTCATCGCGAGTTTCTTTAAACCAAGAACTAAGCTAAATTGAAATCTTTGAATATCATTCAGTATTGCACTTTATCCTAAGATCGAATTATAACAATCTTGGAGCGGGTTTCATGATGGAACTGATAGGAAATGACCTTTCCAACACCCAAAAAAGGATTCCTAAAATTTAGAAGGGTATCTCTATATTCCGACCCAGCATTGTCAAAAGTCAGAAATTCTGAAGCTTACTGAATCTTACATGAATATTACCTGCAACATTGAATCGAGGCTTGTGTCGTTTTCAATTTCTTTATGAGATATACCGCGGTAATTTTTTTCATGTTTTTTTTTTCGAAAAATTCTTTGAGCGAATCTGTCAGTTTCTGTGAATACCTCAAGTTTAAAAAGGTATTTCTGCTAACAAACTTTTTTGAGACTTACCTAAAGTAGAAAACAGCAGAAACAACATCGAAGTCTGGAAATTCATTTGCGCTGAAGTAGACTTGGGCATGATGACTCTCCTGTCGTATCAAAGATCTCTTCTTCACAGGAGACATGCTAAAGGAGCGATGAAGATTTCCTCTGATCACGAAAAGCGATTACAATCGTATAAATATCATCAATAATTCTGTAATCATGAGCTAGAAATTAAATTAAAATGACTTGTATTCTACCGCTAAAATGTACATAATTTGAGTGGTTAATCTTGAGACAGATTTCGTGTCTGTATCACAACAACAAGGCGTCGCTTAGGCGGGATGTCAGACTAGTTTCGATGATAAAATTTTAAGTGTAGTTTAAGTAGATATGACTGTAACCCTAAGCCTGGATGCGTCGGGGTCTTTTCCTGAATAAGCCGGGTGGAAATTGGTATAACTTGAAAAACCACGGGTCTAACAACTCATGCTTGTACGCGATCTATAGATCTTGTCAGGCTTCAGTGGTAAGTCGTTAAGTTTCTTTATTTCGGTCACGTACGAAATTTCACATTTTTTTTCAGAGTCTTTTTAAAGACGGATATTTTTTTTTCTTATAGCGGAGGGTCTCTATCAAACGATAGCCGAGGCGAGTTAGAGTCATCTTTGGGAGAAACGAACTGTTCTGTACTTTACCGCTGTTGTTTGAAAATGACCGCGGCTCGCGATGGTATAGATTCCGCTGATACATCGCAATTTAAACGCAGTTCTACCGCAAAACTTCCCTGTCATTTTAAGTACCCTGCCTTAATCTGAGCACAATTTATGGTTAAAATTAAAGATTTTGTGTAGCTAAAATTGTTTAGGATTTTTAGACGTGGGTTTACCGGTTTTGTCGTCTTGCAAGTCTTCAACCATTCGCTGCCCCCTTAATTTTAAATACATATCTGTCCAAAGTCTTATCAGATTTTTTCAACCATAATTTATCTTGCCGTGCCACCTTTCATTTCAAAGGAGGGAATTAATTTTTGAACAATATACCGGAAAAAAAAAATTGTGCAAAGAGTAACCGATAAAGTTATCTATACGTATAATGTTGCGTGATTTCGAACTTTTTGCATAGTTAGCTGCGCGTGAACCGCGCGTGGGAAGTACAAAAGGTATGGTTACCAAGCATTTATATTGATCTTTATTGGCGGGGAAAATGGAGGAATATGGATGAGGAAAGTGAAGGGTTATCGTTTCTTTTCTCCAAACTCTGCGAGAAATCCTTCAAAAATGAAGCTAACATAGGATGGGATATTTACAGGCGTCCACGTTACACGGATAAAAGGCAAAAGGCTTTAAAAGTTTGCCTCTACGAGACCCTTTTCGAAGAACTTCGAGCTCCTTGGATTAGAGAGTTAGTTCGCACTGGCGATAAAGCTGAGAAGAAGGATGATTTACGCTTCAATATTTATGATAAACTGTCGATCGCTGCATTCAAATTGAGGATAGCTAGGAGGTTTGATGATGCGGAGAAATTGGATCATTTCGTTTGTCAGTGGAGGAATTTGCAAGGTAGGTTTAAAATTTTAAGTCTAATATACGATGTGTGTCCGTAGATATATTTCGATATCTACGGAGAAAATTGTGATCGAGGAAGCATAAGCTTATGTTTTGCCCGTATGATTATATTAGCTGCAGAGGAAACTACTCAGATATGAAGAGACTGCAAACATTTCCCATAACTGTTTTTAATTATTGTTAGCACGTACACTGTATGTACAACCATGCAATTGAATGGAATGCAACAAATTGCTGCGCTTTGCTATTCAGCTCCTTGATATTGGCATTAAATGCTATTTTATTAAGTGTGCACAGCAGGCCTTCATGGTTTCAGTGAAGCTGAACTGACAGGAAAATCCGAATGATTTTGAAGGTTCACCTGCAGTAAATTAGCAACCAACCCAGGGGGATTGTACATACATTTGGCATTATTATTATTATTGGTGCATGCCAAAGAAAATGCAATAAGTTCCAGCACTATGAGTCACATAACAAGTGGGTGCAAGTCCCTTATTTACTTCGTTAAAAAAGTACTGTGAGACATGTAAGCATCAAATTATTTTAGATTTGGGTATTTTACAAAATTTTGAATATTCAAACATTAAAACAATGATCCCTATGCATTTAACATAGGGTTAGGTCTCAGAGGTCCATAGCTGCTTGTGTGCATCCCCTGTTTCTGTGGCTTGACACAACTAAGAGTTTGTGCACTCTCTCAAGATGGATGCCATTCATTTCTGGTTATGCAGTCAATCAAGCCTCAACATTTTTCCCCCTCCCTGGCAGCCCGCTGGGCATTTGAACTTTTGAAGATTAGTTTGTACAAGTTCCTGCCCCCAGGGCAAAAACTGTGTTCAAATGCAAACCCAAAGGCAAAATCAGCAATTATGACTTTGAATGCATTGACCCAGCCTTAAAACATAGACTTCACAGACCCCTTTCAAATTTCCTGTCAAATTCCTGTATTTTCCTTAGTATTAGAGGTTCAAATTGAGCAGCACATTACCCCCCCTCTCAGCATTTCACTAGGCTTCCATGATAGTGGACTGTTACCCATTTATATTTCAAGGTAGTGTAAAGCATTGTGAAGTGAAGTTAAAATGAAGTGTTCTTGGCTAAGAAGACAACACAATAACCTACTTTGTACTTGACCTACCCCACGATATGCCATCCAGCATGCTATCACTTAACATTTACTTTGCGTTTCCCATCTTGTTAAATTCACTGTGCAAAGTTTTGTTTTCAAACAGAGCTCTCAAGCAGTGCCATTAAATTTAACAGCACAAGAGAGACAAATGCAACAGAGAAGGAAGCTGTGTTGAGATTTCTTGTTGCATTGACGGGAACAGGGCATTATGGGTCAACATCAGTGCTGGGTTATCAGGATGACGTCTGGGCCAGAGGACTTAATCAGGTGAAGAGGCCATAAAATTGATTTGAAGATTAACCTTTTAACCCCCTAAGAGTGACAAACTTCTATTTTCTCCTTACAATGTCACCCCTGAATCAAACATTAAGATCTCAAGAATATAGGAAATGATCACCAACTAAGGAAGCTCCTGATTGTGAAACAAATTCTCTTTGTCAGCACCTTAGGAGATGTTTAGATAAAAGTTTGGAGAATATGATATTTTAAGGGTGGAAAGGGGGGGGGGGGGCTCAGGAGGGGTAGGGGAGAGGGGAGGGAGAGATGAGAAAATCATAGTGGAAGAGCATCACAGTGCTGAGTCCTAAGGTCTGAGGTCTGATTACTATCAGGAACTCTGCATTTTTTCTCTTCTCTGTGTTTGTGACAAGGCTAAAATACCTTTTTAATTTTGTTATCAAGCTTAAAATTTGCCACATTTCTCTCTCTGTTGACTCACATAACACATTTGACATTGCTGGCCCAGCAATGTGGGAAAGGCATGTAACATGTGAACCTGATTCATAGCCTAGTTCATCATGGAGTCTCTGACTGGCTCATTGATAGAGCATTGGAATGCTGCATACAGATGTTTGAGATATGATTCCGCAGCATGTGAACTGAGAATTTTTTTGTCTGTCTCATGCTCATGACAAGGTAACAAAAAACATAAGTATTTGTTTAAATAATTATTAGTTTGTGCTTTTTAGATCCAAAAGACTTCTCTTCCAGAGGGACCTCTTCTTGTTACAGACAGTCAGCTTCTGAGACAACAAGGATTAGAATTTGATCACTACGTCCATTACTCAAGGTCTGTGGCAGTGTGCTAAACTTTACTTTTTATGCAGTGACTGATAAAACCATTATTTTTGGTTCTGGTTGGCATAGCCTGTACATATTTTTGGACAATTTGAATATCTAGAGAAACTGTATATGGTGTAAAAACCACTCTCCAAGCTCGGCCTGTTTTGGTCACCATTGTGAGAAGAAAAGGATTTTGGTGTCTTCATCTTAACCGTTAAACTGTCAGAAGTGATAAACATGTAACTTCTCCCTATAATATCCATATCATGTATTATCCTGCAAACAGGTACTGAGAAAACTCTAACTTATCAGGTAGAAGTTGTTATCTTGATCTCACACTAAATTCTCATAACTAATTTACAAGGAAATGTGTAACAGTAATAAAGAGAACTTGGGAGTTAAAGGGTTAACAAGCTGCACAATTTAATGCATCAATTCCATATTGTCATGAATCCTTTCAATAATAGATCACAGATAATAGCTAAATGTGGTAAAGACAAAAAATGTGGCTCACGAGATGTACAGTGTGTCACTGATGTTCTGGCCACATTGTGACATCTTCAGTGATCAATTACTTTACAGACCCATAACAACATGGAATCTATTTGTTTCATATGATTAAAAAAAGCAAAATGTTTTTAATGGGGATATCATCTATAGATGCATCTTTCCTAAAAAAGATCATAAGTGAGAACCATTTAAAATGTGTGTAATTGAGCTAATGATGTAGAGAAAGAAAATTTATAATGGTGATTGGAGACAGTAGAGTCTATTTAGTCTGTAATCATAGGAGTGATATACATTTAATAGGATGACTGGGTGTCTGATTTGTTAATCACAAATATGATTGCAGACAGAATTGGAAGACATAAAGTCCTGTTACCAATTGATCAAAACTATGACAATATTTGAGAAAGAAACTAAACATTAGTTATACATGTAGGTTTTCAGAAAGAAAAAGAAAACAACAGTTAACCCAGTGAAATGCAAGACAACAGTGTGCACACATGACACATTTTGTCCACTTGAGTTGAACTTGTGGCAACCGAGAACAAATCCAGTGAGTGGCAGGGCAGAGTACTTGAACCCAGGACCACCAAATTATGAGTCCAGCACCCTAAACCCTTAGCCATACTGCCTCCTTTTGAAGTGCAGTGTTGTCAGAGACTGCAAACACATTCAATCATTTTGGAAATTTATGAAAAGCAAAAATTATTTTTTAATTGATGTTTTCCTCTGCACCTCTGTTTTGCCAGCTTAAAGTCCCTAATATCTAAATAACAGTAGTTTTTATTTTATCTTTGATGTTAAACAGGGAGTTGTTTGAATGTCCTCCGGTCCTCTCAGTTCCAGGAAGTGATGGATCAACAGGCAAACGGCATACTGAACTGCAGGTGAGTATAGTTTATTGTTTACAAAATCAATACAATCAATTTTGAAAAAGGGTGCCTACAGTGTAGAATTCAAACCACAGGTTGTTGAGGGAGTAGTTAAAAAGCTGTAACTGCAATTATTAATGGTATTTTTATTTATTTATATATTTACTATCTAGATCTTTGAGGAAATGCCAGGGACATTTCCTGGAAAAGCACTCTTCTTGCCTTGTCAGGTAAGATGCTTGTGGTTTTTAAACACAGTAATTACAGATTTTTTTTATACATAGAAAAAAAAAACAATTTTTAGCATAAGAATGAACTTTGTTACTGAATAACAAAACTTTAAGAGAGTTAACTGTCACCTTTCAGCTCATTTTCTTTTTTCTCAAATGTGCTGTTTCACTAAACCCTGTAAACTCTGAGAGTGACTAACATATACATTTAATTTTTCTTCACAATATTACCCCAAAATCAAACATTACTGTCACAAAAATGCATGTATGATTTCAAACTTAGGAAGCTCCTGGTTGTCAAATTCTCCTTGTCAGTACCAAAGAGAATTTCTGAAGATTGGTATGGAGAATATACATACTGATGTTAGGGTGTAAGGGGTTGAAAGGAAAGTAAGTGCTTGCCTTATCCAAGGGTCCTTACTGTCCAGCCAGCACCCCCTCCTTCCTCCACTCCCCCTCTAGATAAAACTGCACCCATATTGATGGGAAAAATAGTGCATTTCATCTGAAGTTTTATGTAATTATTTAGGTTATGGTAGCTCATTACTTTTAATCTTCTTTTTTAATCATTTTTTCAGGATGCCAATGAAGACCTGTATGAAAAGAATGGACGCTCTTCATTATTTAGTGCACTTGTTCACAGCCACACTGATGACCTGCATGTGAAGCTGGATTTACCTGACATTCCTAGCAGTTCCAGGTAAACTGACAAATTATTGTGAACTCCCAAGAACGCAGGATGAAGGTATGAAGGTATGGGGGAGGAAGGGGGAAGGGGGGGGGGGGGGGGTTTGAGGATGGGGCATGGTGGGGTGAGGGGTGGGGGGCATTCTTACTACTACCCTTTATCGGGTCCATTCTAAAATGATATCTATGACTGAGAGATTTTGAATTTGTTTTTGTACAGGACTCTTCATTCCTTAGCCCTGGAACAGAGAGAGGTTAGTTTATTGCTTAAAAAGTTGCAATATTACCAACCATGTAATTTCTGTAGAATTTTAAGCAGATCCAAAACTTGCACCCATTGTAATTCACTAGTTGTCAATATTCAACCAAATCAACCCTATTGCAGTCTGAAATTAACTTTGAGTATTGGTTACTAATTGCCAAGTGGAAAAATTTGGTGACAAGAGGGTTTGATGTATTAGCGAGTTTTGATTTGTATGATTTTTACTTCATAGCCAAATACAAAAATGATAGGTATAATGCAGTTTCTTTGACAAAAATTTATTCTGGGGGTCAAGTAGTCCTACCTTATTTTCCCTTTTAAACTTAACCTACTTACACTGGAGGATGAAAACCTCAGCAAGACAAACTTAGGTACATGTAGGATGAGAATCCTCCTTGAAACCAAGCCTGAATTTTTTCAATAATAAACTCTTTGAGCTTTGGGTGAGAGAATTGGAAAGAGACCAAGTAAGTCACCTGCAAAGGTGGCAAAGCCCAACATGCTTTTTGCCAACAATATATTTTCAATCGCATAGGCAATCAGGTAGTTGTAATTCTGGATCCTGACTATCTGTCACCTAAAAGGTGATGCATCCTTGTAATAAAAAAAAAATTAAAAGAAATATAAATACCTCTTATAAACCAGATTCAAGGGCCATACTGTAAACTATAGACCAAGTTTTTCTGTTCTGATTTATGGCTCAAGGGTGAATCATGCAGGCCATAAATCGTAACTGAAAAAAGCAAGTTTCTGTAACTTTAGGTATGGACTCTGGAAACAAGGTTAGTAGGATATTTATTATCTCTTTGGATTCAAATAGAAAGGGAAATACAGACCAAGAGATATAACAATGACAATTTTATTTCCTCTATTTAGAGTGCAGATGATGAAGGGTTTGAGTCTTTAGAGACAAGCTCTGAATCTTCTCTCACCTCAGAGCAATCCACTCAAGAAAATACTGATGTCTGGTCTGCAGCTTTAACATTGCCACCGCAAAAGTTTTATACCTGGGAAATGGAAGGAAAGTAAGTTTTTCCTCAGTCTTCTCTCTATTATAACCTCTTATGCCTGACTGTCAAGTTCAATATTCATTCTGCAAATGCATGTGAACCATTTACACCATAAAATCAGTATGTATATTCTCCATACTGTTCTTAAACATTTTCTAAGATGCTGACATGGAGAATTTGTGGAACAATCAAGAGCTTCTGTAGTGGGTGATCGGTTTCTTTATTCTCCTGACCTTGATTTTTTATTCAGGGGTGATATGGTAAGGAGAAATTAGATGCCAGTCACTCTGAGGGGTTCAAGGGTTAACCCTATAACTCCCAGAAGCGATAGACATGCACACTGTGACTCAAACTTACTCAAACTTAGGTATACAAGTTGTTTTCTTGATCTAACACCAAATTCGTGTAATTTATATGGAAATATGCAGCAGCTAGAGGAGAGAATTAACAGTCAGATCTTGGGAGAGAAAGGGTTGAATGCATGTTAGCAGCAACAGCAACTCTTAAAGTTCCTCTTTTCATAATGGTTTTGTTTTCCATTTGACTCTAAATCTGGCTAATTGTGGGAACACTTATCTGTATGCTGGGGTACAGAGCTGCTTGTATCTCTAGAGGTCAAGAGGTTAGAAATTCAAACAGTGGCAGAATTATTGCATTCCATTCTTGGGTGGGGTGCTCCTTGAGTGTGACTGGCTTCTAATTTCACCTAACAGTATCAACCTTGAATCAAATGTGAATGTCATGAGAATCATGGAAATGATCACCAATTTAAGAAGCTTATGATTGTCCAACAAATAACCTTATCATTTCCACAGGAAAAGCAAATAGATGAAGAAGGAAAATACAAAAACTACTGTTAGGCTGTAAAAGCGTATCAGTTATCCTATCCACTCCTGAGAGTGACTAATGAGTAAATTCTCCTCACAGTAACAATTCATTGTTAGCCAAAAAGGTGATGAGAAGAAAGGAAATTATCATAAAGGGGATATCAATTGATTTAACCCTTTACACCCCAACATCAGTATGCATATTCTCCATACTGTTCTCTATACATTTCCTAATGTGCTGGCAAGGAGAATTTGATTAACAATCATGATGTTAACCTTTCTTCTCATGACCTTAATGTCTGATTCATGGGTGATGGTGAAATGAGAAATTAGATGCTGGTCACTCTCAGGGATTAAATGGTTAATGAAAACTTCTCAGAGCTCCAGTTATAAGAAATGTAAAGAAGACAGAGATGAAAATTACTATTAAGATCTTGGGACTGAAAAGGCTAATTCTACAGAGATCTGGAAGAGATGCAAGTAGTGTTAGAATTTAATTTTTTTTCTCATTTTTGTCTTTCAGACGGGAACTTTTAAATGAAAAACCTTACCTTACAGAAGCTGGTGCTTCTGTGTTTGATGCACTGTATGATACAGTAATTCGTCAAGTCTCCTACATTGTGAAGTCTCCAACTTTAAGCCCCAACATGGTTCCCCTACAAGCCCTGATCAAGGATTCCATTAATGTACTTATTGGAGTTCCTTCTAGAACATTTCATCTTGATAAGGTACAATATTTGACTAGTGAAATAAAACTACTGTAATTAATTTTAGTGGTTGTGGTGTGGATGTCGTGGTTTATTACTCACAACCTGTATGTAAGTAAGTGAGGATTATTTTAGGAAAGATGATTCAGCTTTTTGTGTTCAGATATGTTGAAATTATAATAGTTAGAGTTATTTCTTTGATGTCTAAAAATTCCTTGAACACAAGGAAATCCAGGTCTCTCTCACTTTACCGGCCTTTGCAAAGCCGGATCGCCAGTAAATGACAAACTAGATTATATTTGGCGAAATTTTTCAAGATGCCTAAACTGAGATGCAACTATGTGAAACAAAGAATGCCTGTAAATGACAAACTGGATGATTTTTGGCTAAATTTTTCAAGATGCCTAAACTCAGATGCAACTATGTGAAACGCAAAAAATGTTGTAATTTGTTTATTTCTTGTTTGACAGGCTATACAGTCCTTTATTGTCAGTGATCAGGTCCGTCTTTCTGGGACCTCACCTGAGATGCTGCGCAACATCTTAGCACGGCTGGCAGCGATAGGAACAGATTACATCCAGCTTAACAAGTTTGCAACACATCACCGTGGCCACTCAGCCGGTTTGGTTTTGCAGGCTTTCCTTGGAGCTCTTCAAAATTATTTACAATGCTACAGAGCAACAGTGTTATCTGTAGAAGGTTTGTATGGAATTGCTATGCCTTAAATTATCAATTACTAACTACAGTTGAACTTGTATTAAGCGGTCAACTATGGAGAATGACAGAGTGATTATTTATTACAGGTTGACCGCTAAATACGATCCAACAGATTAGGAGTATTATTTGTGTCATAATTGACGCTAAATGTACAGAATCTTGACCGAAAATACTACTTACTTTGATTTTGGGAGAGAAACATGGATTAAAAATTATGTGAAAGATTATTCTTTGTAGTGCTTGAGTGGTCCTGCTTTCAGTGACCGCTCAATACAGGTGGGGAACAATGAAACTTAGTAAAGGGTGACCATTACTGCATAATAGAGGTGACCACTTAATAGAGGTGAAAATTACAGTGTGTGAGTGGAAACAAATTCATGAATTTGACAACTAACGGCTTAATACTTAGTGACGGCTTAATACATTGCTACTTTATACAGGTCTGACTCTATTTATTAATATGGGTATGAAACAAAAAAATAAACTTACTGGGTATGGATGGTCATAGCTGGGTGCAAATGGACTGAGTAAGAAATATTTGTGGGTACATAATGACTGGTAAGCAAGAGAGGCTCTTGCCCCTTTTTTTCAACCTAACAAGGTGAAGAGGTTGTTTTGTCTTTGTCATGGTGCGACAGTTTTACTTACTCAACAGCACAGATAACGTTTTGGAAAAATACCAAACAGTGAACCAAGAACACTTTCAAAATGAGATTATTAGTGAGCTGCTTCTGGAAGTAGACTTCCTACCTCTGAATGATTTAACGGTCAAGATGGCTTTTAGGAATTATGTTTTTAATTGATTTTACAGCTTCCTCCGTGCAAAGTCCCATGATGCTGTCATTTGCATTTGAAAATCTAGGAAGGCAGCTAAGGTAAATAAACTTAAGGTAGAAAAAGATAACAAAAATGAAATATTTAATTGCTGAAAATGGCTCAGATAGATCTTATGGAGAACTTTGGAACCAGGAAAATAAATTTCGTACAAAAGGTCGTGGTTATTCATCGTGGTGAATAACAATAAAAGCTGAGCTTTTCGTTTATTTCACGATGTAGTCACGTGTGATGTAGTCACAAGATGCGATCCACATCACGCGTGACTACATCGTGAGACAAACGAAAAACTTAGCTTTTATAGGAAAATAAATGCTTGGTCTATCAAGTTGACACCTCCAGTGAGCAAATATTAACTGCTTCTTTCATGGCTCTGTTTCATAGGTGTTTCCCATCTACTCTGATGGATACATTACCCCAGATTTGATAAACATCATGACAAAATTTCAATTAGAGAATTCTAAGTGATTGAGCAACAGTTGGTGTTTTTTGTTCTTTCATCCTTCTTATTAATTTTTGTGTTGAGCAACCTTGCTTTTACATAAGATGATTCTCATAATAGAGTGCAGAAAATGCATTTATGGAGACTGCTTTTTTGAATTTATGAAAATAGGAATGCCTCATGCCCCCCCTAGTAGCTTGCTCTAATTCCTGTCTAGTCCTGAACAGTCTTGAACCTTTGTTGTCTGCTCTGATTCATTTTTAAAATCCTGTCCTATGGAGAGAATTTGTTTCTCTTGAATAGTATGCGTCCTGAGCGATGCGATAGTTAAAAATGCGGTTCTCTGTCTTTTGTTGCATGTTGCAGGTTTCTTGCCGATGTCTGCATGTGTTCGGAAGCTTTCAAGAAAGCTCCAGAAGATCCTAAACCAAAATTCCCCACGGTAAGTTAATCAATTTTGAAAACGTTTGCGCTTTAGCTAATACAGGAACTTTTAGGTAGACATAACTGAGTTGTACAGCAGGTAATTTAGTGTTAACAACTGGGTTGAAAATGTAAATTAGCCACCGTAAAGGGTAAAAAAGCTGACGTTTGCGATCGCTCTGACGAAGGGCTAACGCTCGAAACGTCAGCTTTTTTACCCTTTACGGTGGCTAATTTACATTTTCAACCCAGTTGTTAACACTAAATTACCTGCTATACTCTCCCACCGACGCAGCACCACAGTTTCTTTAGAAACTTACCCTTTTATTGAGTTGTAGCAGTTCCATTTGTAAAGAAAGATGTTTTTCGTCTAGTTACGAGCGTGGGACAAAGGCAAAATTTTGAGTTCCCATGAGGAATTTAACCTCAGACCTTCAGATTCCGCGCTCTGATGCTCGACCACTGAGCCACAGAGACTTTACGGCGAGCGAGGTCTATTACGAAGTTCATATATGACACACGTCCTGCATACTGCTAGGATCAGCGATGTCGGTAGCGTCATGTTTGTAAATAGAATAAGAAAGATAGTAAGTTCTGAGCTCGGTAAAGAAAAAAGAGAAATATGTTCTTCGTTTTGTCACGAGCGTGGGACAAAGAGTTGTTTTTTTTTTTACATTTTTTTTTAAAGGTATGGTGCCATTCTTGACGGCAGTTACCCTACCCATGTTTTGTTTCTGCTGCTTACTCCAGCCGTCTTTTTTCAATCTATTTAAAACTAAGTTAAAATGTAGTTACTTACAGCTGATTATATTTTGATCTAAATTTCACTTACGCTCATTTTTATATTGATCCGATCCTCAGGGTGTCAGACTCTTAACATACTTATACCAGCTTTGCTTAGAGCACTCTAGTTCTCAGTCCTACTCCATCCTGCTGTCTCTTCTCAAACACAGTGTGCAGCCATACATCATGTAAGTTGTTAAACCTTTCACAGCCAATAATTATTGGTATGCAGTTTCTCCTAACGTTTTTGATACATATTAAAACCAACAGGTTTGGAGAAGAGAGAAAGTTATCACCTTTGTTCTGAGATCGTGATCTAACATCATATTCTCTACATTATTTAGCAAAGAATTGTGGGATATGGGCCTAAGAGCGAAAGGGTTTCTTGGGCTCACTGTGCTGCAAGCTGGTTTTGTTGGAAAAAGGGTTCTTGGGGTTAATGTGTCACTCAGAAGTCCAGTGTTCGGGGACTGTTGTCTGTTTGGGGACTGTTGTCTTGTTTGTCTTGATGTGAGAGATAGTTTAGATGAAACAGGATTTCTAGGTCAATTTTTTGCTGATTTAGAAAAGCAAGAAAAAGCTCACGGAGGAACTGGATATCCACTCATTGTGTGGTTTCACGTAAAGCGCTTTTCGATTGAGTGTCGTCAACCCCAAACCGAAATAATCACAAAAAATGCCTTTAAAAGCCAAGAAGACTCTGAGTTAAAAACAACCAAACTGCTTAAAGCGCGGGGAATCGCGGGCGCCCAATTTGTTTTGGTTATAGTTTGAATCTGATTGGTTGAGAGAGTGGCGCGAGTTTTCTAGGCCAATCACAGAGCGAAATAAAGCAAAACCAATGCAATCCCATAGTACTTTCGACACTCTATTGAAAAATTTTCTAACACAAGGAAGGTTATGAAATTCATAATTTTGACTACTGGAGATTTCAAATGAAGGAACAGTGCTCACTGGTAACCTTCAAAAGTGCGGGAAAAGAATCCTGAAAATTTCGCAGATGGGTGCGGGGCAAATTTTTCAGGTCTCTTTGACGAATTTCAGTTCTAAATGACCATCAAGTGATTATAAAGCTATTCTCCGATTCTGGAGACAAAGAAACAATAGATCAATTTGTGTTATGTTTTTAATTCTTGTATTCGTTTATCCTTTTAGATTCATTCAAACATGGGTTTTTAAGGGGATTTGCAATGATATGTTTGGCGAGTTCATGATTGAAATGGATGAACAATACTTAGCCTACAGAGGTGAGGGTATTCTGTTTAAGATAGATCTTCCTTCGTTCCTTTGTTCCTCCGTTCCTTAGCTCCTTCGTTCCTTCGTTCCTTCGTTCCCTCGTTCCCTCGTTCCTTCGTTCCCTCGTTCCCTCAATTCCTCGTTCCCTCAATTCCTCGTTCCCTCGTTTCCTCGTTCCCTCGTTCCCTCGTTCCCTCGTTCCCTCCTTCCTTCGTTCCCTCGTTCCCTCCTTCCCTCCTTCCCTCCTTCCCTCCTTCCCTCCTTCCCTCGTTCCTTCGCTCCCTCGTTTCTTCGTTCCCTCGTTCCTTCGTTCCTTCGTTCCTTCGTTCCCTCGTTCCTTCGTTCCTTCGTTTCTTCGTTCCCTCGTTCCTTCGTTCCCTCGTTTTTTCGTAACTTCGTACCTTCGTGCCTTTATTCATTTCATTTCATTCACTTCATTTCCTCAGATAAACACTTTTGGACTCAAGGATTTGTAATGGTCGGTCGTGACAAACTCGACTGCGTGCCTCTGTTTCTGGGTGAACTTGCAGATGACATTTTTGTTTGTGGAAAAACAATTAATTTGTTAAAACTTTGCTGCCCAGGGGTGAGTGCCGTCTTAAGTTCTCCATTTTACAAAGTATTCCTAAGATGCATATTCTCCAAACTGTCCTCGATACATTTCCTAAGATGCTGAGGTGGAGAATTTGTGTAACAATCGAGAGATTCTTAAGTTGGTGATCATTGCCTTTATTCTCGTGACCTTTGTGTGATATTGAGGCGTTATATTGTAAGGAGAATTTAAATGCACGTCGCTAGTGGGGTCCAATGGGTTAAACGTCGGACAAGTACACGGTTGAGATTTTTTATAAGATGTTTTTTTTCATGTCATTAATGGTAAGTCGTTTTTTTCCTTTTCTTTTTTTTTTCAGCACTATTTATGTGATCCAGGAATTCCCCTTCCTAAAATGGAGGTGACATTTTCAATGCAACGACTTAGTAGAATAGAGGCGGAATGCAAACACTACATGAGTGAGATACAAAGAATGCATCGGCAACGTCAAGAGCAACGAGAAAATGAGGTAAACGGTAGAAATAGTCATCGGTTTTTTTTTTTTTTTTTTTTCGCGCCTGGATTTGGTGAAAGTGCGCGTCAAGGACACACTGATTGGCTGAAAATACAAAAAAAATGTAAAACGGCACAAAGAACACGTCTTCTTGTTCACACATGGTTTGGATGTCAGTCTATTTCACTACTGATTTAATTCAAACCGGAGTAGATCTGCGAAGAACTATTTTCAGAATGAAAGTAGCTTTTGGTATTTTTGTTAAGTTCTTTGGCGCCTTCTTTAAAACCTCAAAACGTGGAAGTATTGGAATCCCTTACCACAACACTGTGCATCGCAATAGGTCATGGAACGAAATATTAGATGGTTTTCCCCCAATTTCAAACAATACTAAGCGTGGATCCTTCTACTTTTTTCTGGGATTATTAACCATAGGTTGAAGGAGTCGTAGGAACTCCCAGAGTAAAATTTTGAGGGAGAACCTTAATTCTCCCTGCCCCGTCCCTCTCCCCCACCCCCCTTAAAAAAAAGTGTAGAAGTATTTTGTAATCGATGAAGTCCTTTGTAATAGTCTTATTTCGAAATTATTGTCTCATTTTATCAGAGGAAAGTCATTGAGGACGAAAGAGAACGTGAAATTGTTGAAGAACGTGAAAGGGCTGCAAAAGCCTTAGCGGAGATAACAGGTTGGTTTTTATAAAGCTAGATTTGTTCTGTACTGCGACACGAGCGTTTCTAAGCCCGTGAGAAAGTCTGAGTCCTTGGGTAAAGAGGGCTGGCGAAAATTCGGCGAGGTGTCTGGCATTAATCTTTATTAGTGCCAGACCTTCGGTAAACCTCTCTTCGACTCGTCTCTAATCTTCCCGCGGGTGGAGAAATGCGCATGCAGCAGCGCTTATAAGGGCATCCTCCAGGCGGCCTCCCTTGAGAGGAGCTGATGGCTATCAACGCTTTTTTCTCAATAGAGCTTATTCAAAAGGCTAAAGAAGCAGTCGAGGAGAAGAAGCGAGAAGACTTAAAGATGTTAAAAGAACAAATGGAAGAGGCGTTTAAGGTTTGTTGACTCCGATCAAATTTAAAGTTCTCTTAAAGACATCGAGTCAATCTTGCTTGTAATGATAATTATAAGAAGTCCTTTACTGAACACGTCTAGTGTAGGAGAACAAATAGCCTGGGAAGAGTTTCTAGAGCTTTTAGCAAATTTTGGAAATCTTCCGCGAAAATACAGACTTCTCCCTGATCTGATTGGTGTGGCGCCATGAAAGGCATAACTAAGAGGGGGGGGGGGTGATCCCTTTAGTTGTTAAGGTGCAGATCCCCTTCATCTCTTCAATTCCTTTTCGTGCCAGACCCCTCGCAGACCTCGCACGCTCACATCGCTTGCCTGCTCGAATCTCGCGGGCCAGAGTTTCGTGCCTATTGGCTCATCTGCCGTCGATTACTCATGCTACTTTTTATGCTAAATCTGCACCCTCATTAAGTTAAGGTTACTAAACCAAACGGAGCACAGGCAGTAACTTTCCAAAATTTTGTTGCCTCTAACAGCATAAGGCCTTGGCGAGAGAAGAGGAGAGGGAGGAGGACATTAAACGTTTAAAAGCAGCGAAAGACAAGGAGGTCACTACTGCAACAGTTGAAGAAGAGATGAAGAACAAAGCAAGGTATTGAGGGTTCCATATCTTTTCTGTTTTCCAAAGTGTCCTCGCGGAGTAGTGTTTCTGTCGTGTCGATTTGGAGCTAAGTGGTCGTCACTGTGAGCTCTTGTAGTGCGTGGAGTGTGCTACAGCCAGTTGGATTACAGACGCTTGTTCTTAGCTTATTAGAAAACATAGTTTTGGTTTGAGTCACGTGATTGTCCCGCGCGTGGCACCATTCGTACTCTGTTTCTCGCCCTTGGTATGATCGTGGCGGTTGATAAGATTTCCGTGTTTGCAACTAGTTCCTTTGGTGTCAAGATGCAAATTGCACGAAGTCGGTTTCCTTAAGAGCTCACTAGAGTGGAGGTGAATTCTCTGAGTTCCTAAAAAATTCGAATTTTTAAATTTCTTACACAGGGAAGAGCTCATCAAGTACTATGAGGAACTCAGCCGTGAGGTGGAGTACCGAGAGTTTCGTGCCCAATGGCACATCCGCCGTCGGTTACTCGACCCTGCTAGAGCCCAGTTCTTTGTGCAGGAGCAGGCTCGGTTAGACAGCTTACAGGAGCAGATGACACAAGCGTCTGGTACCCAGACTTCTGGTGAAATAACGGATGAAAGTGACGAACGGCGTGAGAAACGACTCGAAGAAAAGTCTGTTTCCAAGGAAGAAAGAGCTTCCACTCCAATTTCGGCTCCGAGTCCAAGCCTTGTGTCACTTATAGCCAGTGGCGTAAAAACAGATGCCTTGGTTAGAGCAGGGCACACGAGCTTAGGCGAAAGCACGCAGTTCGATAGGGAGGCTGGATCGCACTCGGAGGAATCTGCTTCGGAAAACAGAGTCAGAAGGACTTGGGAGAGCCCTGCTGAGAGTGTTGCCGAGCTTGGGAAGATGACTGAAGCAGGTTCGGGCAGAAAGACTTGGGAAGCCCCACCCGATGGTGAGGTGAAGATAGCATCTTCTCTTCCTAAGAGCCATCCTTCCGATTCCTCCATACAGTTTGCCATGTATAGCGACAAACGTAAGACCAGCGAAGAAAGCGAGACGCCAGATTATGGTTTACACGATCGCAGTTTAAAAACCTGCACTCCTCACGTTGGTGATTCATCTTTGCAAAACGTTTTGTATCCCACTACACCCTCAAACTCGACATTAGGCCTGGATGCTGAGTCTGTGACCATGGTAACCCGGCCCTCAGATGTGAACGTTCGTGGCCTTGTTTCGAGTCATCCCTCGGATTCTTCAGCCCAAGACATTTTATACGGCAACAGCGCAATGGGAGCGGCGTCTGAAGTTCGAACGCCGTCCGCACAAGGACATCCATCCGATTCCACTGCCCAGTACCTTCTAAACACTAGCGGTACCCAGGAAGGAACCATTTCTGAAGCTCGTTCTTCGGAACATGGACACCCCAGTGACTCATCTGTAAGCGGGTTGTTGTACCCCGATACTCTGGACACACCCAATCCACAGACCCTTTCTTACTCCCAACATGGGCACCCCTCAGATTCCCAGGTGACTTTTTCACACGGCGACAGTGTAGCCCAAGTTATCCAGCGCAGTTCCAGACAAAATTGGCAACACCCTTCCGACGCCTCTATTCAGAAGCTTTTAGGAGACATCGATGTTTTGGGTGACAGCCAAAATACGACCCGTGGTACCCCTCCCTCGAGCGTGGTTCAAGATATTCTCTATCCTAAACCTGATGGACAATCCACACCTGCTCAGGATATCTTGTACCCAAGAGAGGGAGAGTCAGAACAATCAAATAGACCGGTGCACACTCGTGGAGCCCCTCCCCAAAGTGTTATTCAGGACATATTGTATCCAAGTGGGGAGGGGGCAGTAGGAGAGGGGACAAGGTTGTCAACACGTGGCCAGGAGCCTGCTGGGAAGATAAAGAATATTTTGTATTACGTTAAAGAGAAAGAAGGTGAGTCAGAAACGATCTTGTGACCAATTTTTCGTTTCGTCTTTGAGGAATATCTCAGCTTTGTAAGGGAAAATGTGAGATGTATTTCTATCAAAGCTGTTAAAGTGGAATTTTCTCACCTTTCTCGTTGACATTTTCTTATTTCTTAGCGAACGATCCCGAATTGTGTCATTTACATGTGTGTAGGTACACTGGTGAAAATATGAAATCTGGTCTAAACAATGTTTCCCCTTATATGACTACCCTCTTGCATGAATACTTTCTTACAACCAGCTTGTTATTCCCACAATCTTTATCAATTATCGCGAGCTTTAGTCAAAGTCCTTCTGCGCCACTGATTATTTTTTAGGTTTAATTAAGAATTTGACCATTTCATGGTATAATTTGGTACTGCTTACCGTTTCTGTCGCTTTGTGTGTGTTCTCTAATGGTTTCATTTTAGTCAACCAGAAACATTCCGTACTTGTTTCGTGAACTTTGGAAGGTTTTGAAGGCAAATGTTGAAATCGTCGTTGCCAGCGCGCGAAATTCGCATATAACTAAGTGTGGGAGATGTGAAGGGAAAAAAATGTGGCCTTTTTTCTGAGCCTACATCAACTTTGTTTTGGTAGGGGAAACCTTACAGCCACAATCAAGGCAGTTTGAGTTTGAGGATGTTTGGCTAGCTTCTCAGGTGGAGCCTCTTCAGGACAACTTTGATGTGTTGGGTAGGTCCAGTGACGAGATTTCAGAAGGGAAAGTTTCAAAAGAAACTGTGGTGCCGTGTCGTTGGGGGGAGGGAAGGGGAGGGGGTTAACAAAATATTTGGTTATTGTGTTAATTGGCCACCGTAAGAGAGGTTCTAAAGCCGACGTTTCGAGCGTTAGCCCTTTGTCAGAGCGAAAGGACGATGGACGCTCGAAAAGTCAGCTTAAGAAGAAACTCTTTACGGTGGCCAATTTTCATTATCAACTGAGTTGATAAAACAAAATTGTGTTGTTATACTCCCCCACCGACGTAGCACCACAGTCTCTATAGAAACTTACCCCCTTTATTCGTGTCTAGGAAAATTGCTTCTTGTGAGTTCATTTGTGTTTTAATTTGAAATCTTTAATTTTTAGATCAAAAACCGTCATCAAATCTCATGCGAGGCGCCATGGGCACATTTCCAGTATCGCAAGGTACAGTATTAAGCATCGAACTGGATTGTTCAGATTTTGTCTTCGTCGTATTTAGAAAGATCTGGATTATGAGATTAAGACATTTCAAAGCAAGAGATGCCTCTTCTTGGCTTGAGAGATCGTTTTGATACCTGCACTCCCAGGCACATTCGTTGGGAAATCCTTTTCCTATCCTCCCCCTTTCAATGTTGTTCTGTAAGTTGGCACAGAAACATTGGCAATTGACGACATTGGAAGGGAGAGAGGGGTGAAAAAATACCATGGGAGTCGGTAGTTCTGGATAAGTGTCCCAACTAATTATGTCTAGGATTGTGGCTATTCCCTATCTGAACAAATAAACAAACAAATCTTTTTTTATTGCTCACTTAAGAGATATTGCAGTGAAATGAGAAAATCATTCACACGCAATTTTTAACCAAGGTGTCTTATACAAGCTGCAAACAACAACACAAGGTAGTAAGTCATGGTGTCTTAAAAGCGTATAACTTTTTTGTTCAAGTAAAAGCTGAAAACAAAATTGATAAATCAACAGGATATCAGTACATGAACAGGCCTCGTGTTCTAAAAGTGTTGTGTTTTCCTTTTCCCTACTTTTGTTTCCTTTTGCAGATTTCAGTGAACGTTCTTTAGCTTATTTTGCGAGACAGCACTTGTGTCTTATCTTTTTCTTTGAACTTTTGCGCGGGAAATTGAGGCCGGCCAGAATTTATCTCCTCGCGCATGTCCTACGTTTGACCGCTGTGTTGAAGTAACAATACACCTAGTTGCTTGTTGCTTCGGAAACCGCGATAGGTTCCGGCAGTATTTGACCATTACGCTGGTGAGACGTGAACCTCGTTCCTCCTTGTTAATGGTGTCTCGAATTTCTAGTGACTCAGAAATCTAAACCTGAAAGTATAAAAGGTCAGGGAATATTTTTGTTCTGTTTGCAGGCTCAGATGCTGATGAGAATGACACGGATGCAGCGCGTCTGATGTCACTTCCGGTTTTACTTCAGCGATCTGTCATGGCGCCTCTTTTAACCCAGTAAGTTGTTCGTTAGTTTCTATTTGTTACTTTCAAGACCCTGTTTCCATGGAAAAGATCTTCATTGGGATTGATACTTTGTCATTCTCTGAAAAGAAATTTAAAATCCCAGTGTATTTAATGAGCTGAAGTACGCGCGCATTTCGATTGTATTTCATGATCTGTTGGAGGACCGACGCATAGATGGCGACTCCATTAACATTTACACCATTTTGCTTCTTTATGATATATTTTGCCTTAGGTCTGTTTAGTAATAGATCACAGAAGACAACAAAACCTGGCCAGAACTTCAGTGAGACATTCGGCTGCGCCTTGTGTGCCATTTTTTTGATCTTACCACACTTTGACGCTCGACAACGTGGAATCTATCAGTTAGATTTGTCATCGTATCTCATTTCCCCTGCTCTGTGTATAACAACGTATTTTCCTCTCTTACTTTCTAGGATATCCCTGGTAAATTCTGCTATCGTGGCGTATTTTATCAAAGACTTGCACATCAACAGACACTTTGATCTGTTCAAGAAGCTGCTGTTCATGGAGGACGGTGAATTTTCTCTCTCACTTTCCAACCAGCTGTTTGAAAAGGTATTTTTTTGTCCCCTTTTTCCATTCGGGAAAGAAATAAGCCTGGTCTCATAATCTTCCCTCTTCAAATACTTCATGACTGGCGTTTTAGCTGGTCATGCAATCCTCATCTCTAGGGCCGTGACAACCTCAGAGCTGCAATTTATTATGCAATGTTTTTTTTTTTTTGTTTTTTTTTTTTTTTAACAGCTTGCCTCAGGGGTGTCCCCACGGGAGATGTGTTCTGCCACAGTGATGAACTCCATTGTAGGGAAGGCCCTTCAAGTCTCCATTTACTCTGATACCACGGAGCATGCGCAGAACCTCGCCTTTGCTCTTAAAAACATGCCTGAGATATTTAAACCGAACGGTATGTCTATTCCGTTCCATTTTAATGTTTTCAATTCTTAACCATTCCTGTTCTTTTAGAGTTAAGTTTAACCTTGTTAGTTTTTGTCCAGCCCTGCCAACTGTCACTTTAAGCAGGGTTCTCAATTAAAGCAAGATACTGTCGGTCTGCCGCCGCCTGTAAGATCGCTGACCACTTTCTGTTTAACCTGTGTGCAGGCTCTAGTATTTGGGTCTCGCTTTACGGCCCCTTTCCGGGCACAACCGCATATTACATCATCGGCAGCCACTTATGGAAAAAAGTTATTGAAACCCCTGCTGTAAATTTCTGTAGGATATAAAGCCAATCTCCTGTGCACGAATGATGACTAAAATCGTCGTACTGTTGTCTATCTTATGATTACAGAATACATATAAATACTTTAATGGTGCAAGTTTCATATGAGTGGCCAAGGAAGAATGGGACTCTAGCACTTTCGCTGTGACTGGTCCAAAAAATTCGTGCCACATTCTCGACCAATCAGATGCATAGCCAAAATAAATCGGAAATTATCCCTGGCGTTTTCCCGCGCTTCCGGCGGCTCGCGTATTTTTACTTTAATTTTCATTGACGCCCTGTGACACTTTCCTTTGCCCTGGTAGGCTGTAGTATTACTTTGGATTTGGTTCCAGGCTCTTGACCGAAATGCGCTCAATTTTTACAACCTCATTTTTTTATGATCTTATGTAAAATTGTTTTATCTTGTCTGTTTTATTTAGAAATGGGGACCCTGGATTTTCTAGAGTTGCGGTACAGAGTGAGTAGTCCAAGACAAAACATCACCTTGCTGTTGTAAATCTTTTTCAAGTTGTCCACTACATTTTTTTTCTTCGTTTGTTTTCATTTCAACTCATCTCATCTCATCAGGTCGATTGGCCCCTCAATATAGTCATTACGGAAAAGTCTGTCGTGAAATACAACAAGGTAAGAAATCATGTTTGGATTTATTTGAAAGAAATAAATTCTCTTATTATACGGCAAGGCAGTCCAGATGCAAATCCGACTGATCTGACAGAACAAACCCTTTCCACGGAAACGATCATAATCCGTATATTTTTGGAAGCGAAAGCCGGCAAATTCAAAATGAAAAAGTTTGGTCCGAGTGTCATATGATAAACTACTTGCTAAACTCGCTTGCTTACTCAATTCGGGTAGCAAGAATTTATATAGCTGTTTTAACGGTCGGAAACGCCGTTGAAAAAAGATTGCTTCCGCGGTGCAGCGCTCCACACAGGAGTATAAATGAGTACGGGCAATAGAACTGTGTTCTAATAGAGCTCGAGTGCCACAAACTCACTTTGCGTTTGATAACTGAGCAGTTTAGTTCTCAGAAAAGAGCCTTTTTAGTACCTTAGAAAATGTACAGAGAATATTAGAGAGAATATGCATGCTGATGTTTAAGAGGAAAGTGTTAACTGAACCAGAAAAAGAAGCTTCCTTTTGAGACACTTCCTGACCAGTAACAGGTATAATTTAAGACTAAAAGAACATGGAGTTGTTTTGAACTGAGATGTGGGCTGTTAGAGTGTCAAACGAAACCTTGAACTAGAAGGAAATGTGAATAGAGAGCCATAGGAATAATGTTTTGTGTAATAGTATAGTTTGATCGTCCGGGTGAGTGTAGTCCCGAGAAGGACTGTTGTCGGTAGTGGTGACTAACTTTTCGACAACCTGAGCGAAAGTCATCATCAGAGTCAAGTGAAAGGTTGTTGTCAGTCGAATGTACTTAGTCTGGTTGGTATAAACTGATTGGTCAGTTTTGCCGTGATGTTATTGACTGTGAGACTCAAGTGGCATAGGTCAGTCGTGATTGGTCGGTTTGGATCCGTTAGTGAAGTTAGGTCGTTCTGTTCGGTTCGTTTGTGATGTTAATGTCGTGAATGAGTTATTTGTATGGTGCCGGTAGTGGTTGACACCTGCAGAGGGGAGTCTGTTCCAAGTTAGTAGTTAGGAATAATGTTTTGTTTCTTTCAGGTATTCTCTTTTATGTTGCGGCTAAAACGTCTTTCGTGGGTCCTGCGGGATATTTGGTTTCATTTGAAGCACGTTGGTAAGCTTAAAAAATGTAAATTTTCGTTTTTAAGTGGTAGACAGCTAGCGCCAGCTTTTGTTTCTCAAAGAGACGCTCGGGCAAATGAAACACTTGTGAAGCAATTTTTTAAAATCAAACCACAAGTTGTGTGAAGGAGTTTTCGCTAAAAACCTAGCCTGAGCATGCTCTCATTATTTGTAGTTCAAGTCGCCCGCTTCTCCACCGGCGGGAAGATTTGAGACGTGAGAGTTTTGCGGGGGTCTGGCACCAATAATCGGTGCTAGACCCCTCGCCGGCTCGCGTCTCGTAAGGCCTCACACTTAACCGCAGGTGATAGATCTCTAACTCTTACGGGTGATTAGAATGTATCTTCTCCATACCATGGCAATGCTATACCGAGCAAACAGGTTATGAGAAAAAACACCTCTAAAACTTAGTAAATGTTACTTTGATGTAACAACAAATTCTTTGCACTAATTTAAAACAAATGTAAATTATACGTAAGAGAAAATTTGTTTTCAGATCATGATACTTTAAAAGGTCAATGGGCATTGTTAAATTTTCTTGCTGACGACGAATGTTCTTGTGTTACAGCCTACTCACGCAATGTAGCCGGTTCGCCCCAACTTCGTCAGCTGCAGCTCTTCAGGTAATTTATAAGAACATCTCTCAGCCTTCTGTTGCATATTTCTATGACGAAGTTTACCACTGAAAACGTTGTCGAAAACAACAGATCTTTTTTTCGTGCGCTCTTCAGAGTGAATGTATTTTATACCGTTTTGTAGTGTTCGTGATGAAAGCGGAATATATATTTCGTTTGAGTGGTGATGTCCTGTTGTTTCTCTTGTTTGACCCGTTGCAGTGCGCGCAATCTAGCTGTGCGTGTCACCAAAGTCGCACTGCTATCTATGATGGTCCTTTGCAGGCTCGCTCACTGCTGTTAAATTCACTTCCACACTATAACAGGACTGTCTAGGAACCTCGTGAAAGGGTAATAAAGTGAAGTCTGCTCACTAGTCAAGTTACCCATCCTGCCCTACCTTACCTTGGTTCAAATAGCATGAAGCGACAAGAAGTACCGCTATTTCTCTTAGACTGAATTAGTGTGTCGTTAATTACATCCTCTCTTCCTGTCTCTCTTGCCCGCCTTTTACTTTCCGGCGGGCAAGGAAACGCCCGCGCCGAAGCGATTAGCTTGCTCACAAGCCAATGACTTTCTCCATGTTAGTTTTAGGCATCCAGAGGTCGGCTGATTTGGTAAATTGAAGTGTTTCGCATTTTTTTACAATGCTGTCATCACGTCTTTGTTGTTTCTTTTTTCAGGCACGAAATGCAACACTTTGTGCATAATCTTGAAGGATACTTGTCAAATCAAATTCTAAACGTTACCTGGTCAGAGTTTCAAGAAGGACTTCTAAATGTAGGTGGCCTGGGGATGATTTAGCTGCATTACACTTTATAAAATAAGCTGAATTATATGGGGGTTGTGATTGGTAAAACGTTCGCCTTTTCACGGCCATTCATTATATTTTTTTCAGGAAAGAGATTGCATAGTTTAGAACGTGTACCAAACGTTAGTTTGGTAAACGTTTGAAAGAGCAAAAAGCGGTCTTCTTTTGCCAAAAAGAAAATTCAGCTTTGTCGGTGCACACATGCCTAACCAACCATACAATTGGAAGGAATAAGTCTAAAATTAGCACCACTAATCGACGTTACCACCAGCGCCTTTGTTGGGAAGCCTGGCATATCAACTCCGCCCACGCTCCTTCAAATCGTGACGATGGCGACTTACTACCTGACCCTATTTACACCTCGTCAGAAAAAAAGAACAGCTAATTAGTGAGCATATAAAAGGACCTCTTGTTGCAACGATTAGATCACCCCTGATGAGGGCACCAGACAAAAGTGTCGAAACGTTGGGTCTATGAATTGTAACTTCTCGGTTACATTAATTAAATCGTGAAATCAGAGTAGCATTAGGTATGTCTGATTTTCCGCCTGGTTGCTTTGTGGACTTCAATATAACTAATTCTTGATTTTCTTTATCCAGGTAAGAAGCTTGGACGACTTGCACAACCAACACACTGACTACCTCCGAAAAGCCATTTTCCGTTCCCTGCTCAGTCGAAAGGCAGCGCCTGTGATGACCATCATTAGTGACCTGGGCACGCTTATACTCAAACTGCGCACGCAGCTTTTGGCGTCCCCATGGCAACAAGACCCTGGTACAGGGCACGTGACTCATCCTGCTTATGACATCATGTGTAATACTCATAAAGTATTCAAAGAATACTCTACCTTTCTCTTCACAGGTGAGATGTTTCGGAAAATGATTTTTTTTGTTAGTGTTTCTTCGTATACAGTATTTTGGAACTGGAGAATGTGGTGGGTGTAACAGGGGTCTGTTGAATATCTTTAATTGCGGAGCTAGAAAAACAATTTTTTTTTCCGCGCCCTAGTCATATACGTTTCTCCGCGCTTCAGGCAATTGCCTTGTTTTTCATCTCAATTCTCATTGGCTCGTTGTTATAGTTTCCATGTCTCTGATTGGACGTTGTGATGGTTTCTGTGTTAGTTTCATAACACGTAAGAGAAAAGCACTCTGATGATTTTTTTTTTCTTTTGGCCATCTGCGAATCAGCGGTGGGTTCTTACTGCTGCACAAAAAGGGTGCAATCGGCGTGCTGTGCTCTCTGAATAAAGGTGTTCTCCTTATTTTAAGCAGAACAGGAAAAATAAATTTTCAAACTGATAGAGCAATCCTTTACCTGTTGAATCTTCAAGAATTCCAAGCGATTTTACGCACCAATAAGAGATACTACGGGCGGAAAGTTTTACCGGTTATCGCCTTAAAGGAGAACACCATTATTCAGAAAAACCGCTTGATTTAAATCAACGCTAATATTTTTCTAATTTTTTTTCAGTGGTCAGTAAACTTGTTCGCAGAGGTTATCAATCGCACTTGGCCGACTTTCTACTAAGAATCAACTTTAACAACTTCTACAATGTGGAATGAATTCGTTACCACTTGACCTCGACGTCACAAACGAATATAATTTTATGACTTGTGTTATTTACTGTGTAGTTCTTTGAGAGACGTCAAAACCACATAAAGCAGGACTGTATTTGCAGGGCTATTATCTCAACTTCGCAAAGATATAGTAGACAGACGACTCTCGGATTACTAACAACTAGCGACTTTGAAAGAGAGAAATACATTTTTTAGGTAAAGATATGAAGCGAGAGATGATCACGCGCACCTTTGATTTTTGTCTTAAGTTTTGTCATCTAACGCATTTTTTCGCCTCACCCCTCCCCCCAACCTCTCTACTCACCGAACCGAACCGACAGGAGTTCATTTCAGTCTTTCCACCTGTTTGAAACTAGGTGTTTCTGAAAGTCGTCTCGATGGATTAGATAGACATGATCTACACAGCAGTGGGATCTCTTTTAAGCTTCGTTTTTTTTCTGAATTGTCCTTAAAGTTACGTCAAATTAAGGTCTTGGATAATCGTCTTGAAAGGCGTTCGCTCGAGTAAACTTCGACTGCCAAAAAAATTCGGGAAAATAAAGAGATCCGATCGGGCGGATTGTGGTTTTTCTATATATATAAGTACATAGCTGTCTTGCAACACACAAGAAATGTGACAAGTTTTGCTCGTGTTTTTAACACACAAATTTTCGTTGAAAAGTGGCGTACTTGATCCATGCGTCCTGCATGACGTTTAAAACGAATATGGAAACGAGCTCTTAGCCTCAAATGACACAGAACAACCTGTGGGTAACAGCACAAATTAGAACTGACATGATTTCGAGTGAAATTTGGTGTTAAAAATCGAGTAATTTTATCAAATACCAAATATTTCACGAGCCCGTAGCAAATTGCGAGTGCAATTTGTGGTCTTTCAAAATTTTTCAAGTCCCCCTTTACAAGAAATTTCACGAGAAATCATGTTGTTATTTAGTAATAATATACATGAAAAAGGCATCTCTCAAAGGCAAGGCAAACGAAATTTTGACAGCGTGCGTGCTATTTGTAATTTGTATTCATTTTCCAGCTTTGCACCCGTGTTAAAATGCACTCGGTTTCAGCCAATCAGAAGCGCGTGAATTTTTCGTGTATAATTTTTAGTGTAGGTAACATGATTTCGAGTGCAATTTGGTGTTAAAAAGCACGTAAATTTTTCAAAGACAACAAAATTGCATTCTTGTTACAACTTTGCACTCGTATTACATGAAAAATGGACTCGTTTTCAGCCAATCAGACGCACGTAATTTTTTCATGCATATTATTACACGCAGATAGAGTGAAATTTCGGATCAAGTTACCGGCGATTACACACCGACCCGGCAAATAGTAACAGGAAAGGCAAATGAGAGGTTTGTAAGCATGCTAAGCGCCAAAAGTAGAGAAAGCACTTGATTACGTCTCGTGTTCCCCCCTACATTTGTTTTGTGCTCCAGCTGCTTGCTGCTGCTTTACAACAAAACAAAGCTTCTTTATTTCTTAACGTCACTCATTTGATATTAAAAGGGGGCGACTCACGCTTGAAATTATTGTCATTTGCAATATTTGTTTTTCTCGGCCAAATAGAGGTTAATTTTCACCATTTCACATCATATCTACACTCTGCTGTAGTTTTGAGAAATGAAATACATCAGATAATGAGGTAAAAAATATTTCGCTTCAGTTTTCAATTTCTGATTGGTCCATTCTTTTTTGAAACCAATGACTGGCGTCAAATTCTGTGCAGAAGGCGTCTGACAGAACATTCTAGGATGATAAATGTTTGCAGCCTTGAATGCGACTTAACTAAACATTATCTATTGTCCGAAGTAAATTTTAAGAGCTGATGGGAGCGAGAAGGTTTTATAAAACCCTTATATAAACAATTATTTTTGCCTAGAACAGTTATGCTTGAAATTGTGATTTTGGATCTTCGGCTGGTTCCTCTCCATCCTCGCGATAGTTGTAAATAAACGCATTGCCGTGGTGAAACCTTTGAAATACTTGACTTTTATGAAGCGCCGCCCAGTCATTCAAATAGTTTTTACATCTTAGGGAATTCCTTTTCTTTTCGCTTTTACTTTTCTTTAATGTCAGTTAGACTTAATGCACTCGAGCATGCGATGACCATCGTCGGCTATTTGTGTTTGCTCTTCGAGATAATCTTGTGCCTAATGCTAATCTTTTTTCTTACATCCATATTTCTTGTTCAATCTGAACTCTAGGGATCGCTCTGTAGCCAGGCAATTTAATTTTTATCATCGGATCCTTAAAGTTCAAACTCAGAACAAATCAGCTGTAAAATGGGTGGTTTTGGTAACGTGTGTGTTTCTATTGTGTTACGGAATATTCTTGCGTTGTAGTTTATCATTTTTAACTGGTCATAAATGTAGTAACGATTTTTATTGCAAAATAACTCAACAAGTTATTAACTCCGGCCTATACCGTAAAGTTTATGCTTTCTTCAAAAGAGATATAAAGCAAGAATGCGGAAGGCTTCTCTTCAAAAGGCGTCGTTATTTAACAACAGAGTAGTTCCGACGCAAGAAAAACATTAGCTGATGCATATACTTAAAACTTTCCTAAATCCTGAGGACTTCCGGTTCAGAATCTATTCGTGACATGTTGATTCTTATCTAAACAGCTGCTTGGTTAAAAAGCTTCCGATGAAACAAAGATAAGTCACCTGTTTAAGAGAAGTAGTGTTGATATGACATATGTCTAAAATATTTAAGACCACATATTGTTTATTTTGAGGCCGTAGTTTACTGGAGAAAATGTTTTTCTCAAATTAATCATTTAGGCTGGCATGTATTTTAGTCCTAGAAACACGTGGTTCTTATAACTATGAGCTTGTGTTGCATATTTTAAAGACATAGAGTAAAAAAATATCATTTTCTCCTCAATTTTGCTGTGTTTTTCAATGTATGTTCTCTTCAATGTTTTAGAGTATTAAGCTCTTGTTGTTGAATTACGTGATAACTTTGAAACGATAAATGCTGGAAAAAAAATTCCTGAATTGCCTGACTTTTCGTCAACGACAGTCGATTTGCATATGTGCAACTTCCCCATGAGCTGTGTTTAATTTAGCGGGGAACTGATCATCACCTTAAATAGTCAATACCGATATAAGATTCATTGATATATATACTTATAATTTCCCCGTTTTCATTTGGAAATTTTTTCACATTTGGTAGCGTAGGTAACAATGATATAACATTTCCAACACTTTTTTACTACATGAGAACTTATCTTAGAGATGCTCGTTAAGGAAGATCTTCGTGCGACTTAAAATGAAATACTTGACAAGTATTCAAGTCATGTAATCCATCGGTCGTATGTCAAGAGAGATTGTCAAAGGCAAACGCCTTCAGGAAATTTTATAACATTACGTATTCTCGATAAGTATTTGTGAAATGCTTTTAATTTCTGCTTGTGTGTTTAGCAAACAATTCTTTAAAGAAAAGTGACTCACGTAACCCACAAGTCTTGCACACGATGACCTTTAAAACGAGTATGAAAACGATTTATTTGGTTGCAACTGACGCAAAGAAAGCTGTAGATAAATACATCTTATTAGACTTTTTGGTGTGTAGTATCGCTGGGTATTTTTGCGAGTTGTGCCGTATTTTGACGAGCCCGTCTGGCGAGTAAAAATACAAACAACGCCGCTTCCGAAATGCTTTACAACAGAACAGTGTTTCGAGGCTTCTTTATTTGTTAAAAACGTCTTTTACTTGATAATAAAAGGGGGCGATTTACGCTTACACTGACCGATCGATAATTTTGAAATTATTGTTATTTGAAATATTTGTTGTTGGCTAAGTTTCGTTAATTCGCATCTTATTTGCACTATCATGCTGTACTGATAGTCTAAAAAAAGGACTGCCGTAAATTTTATTTTAATTAAAACACATTAGAAGATGAAGTCAAAAGAAGTTCCGCGTTTGTAATCAATTTCTGATTGCAATTGGTTCCTTCTTCTTGAAAACTAATAAACAGACGTCGAACTCCGCGCACGAAGCGTCTGACAAGAACGTCGTTGAGTGATGGATGTTTGCAGCCCTGAATATGACTTAGTTAAACAGCATATATTGCCATACTGATTAGCTTTTGTGTAGATTGGATGGGGCCAGATGGTTGATTAAAAACTCTATATAAACACAATTACATTTTTCATCCTTAAAACCTTTCAAAACACTCTTGGCTTGACCGAAGAAAGAAATTGAAAAGTCCTAGACAGCCATTTAGAAGAAATTCAATGGAAACGTGGTTTTGGGTTCTCGGCTGGTTCCTCAGTATTCTCACGATGGTTGTAAATGGATTTGTCATCTTCCTCGTCTGCAGTAAACGTCAGCTTCGCACCAAAACCAACACATTCATCGTGTCTTTAGCAGTGGCTGATTTTGGTGTCGGGATGCTTGCTGTTCCTTCACGCTTTTTCTGCAGCCTTGCAACCGAATGCGCTCCACCCTCAAGAGAGGAATTAATTGTGAGATTTGTAAGGGCGGTCATTGTTTACACCTCTGGAACAAACTTGGTTGGATTAGTACTGGATCGTTATGTTGCTGTTGTGAAACCTTTGAAATACTTGACTTTTATGAAGCGCCGTCGAGTCATTCAAATGGTTGTAACATCTTGGGGAATTCCTCTTCTTTTCACTCTTGGTGCAATCTACCGTGACTGGAATATATGGGGCTACTTGTATTTGCTTTTCGAGATAATCTTGTGCGTAATTCTAATCTTTTTTCTTGCATCCATGTTTCTTGTTGTTTACTCTAGAGATCGCACTTTAGCTAAGCAACTGCGGTTTAATCATGTAGTCACTAGAGCTAAAACTCAGAACACGTCAGCAGTAAAATGGGTAGCTTTGATAACGTGTGTGTTTCTATCGTGTTACGGAATAATGATGCATTGTAGTTTTTTAGTTTTAACCGGTCAATCATGTAACGATTATTCTTTCAAAATACCTCTACAAGTTATTAACTCTGGAATAAACCCTATAGCTTATGCTTTCTTCAAAAGAGATATACAACAAGAATGCAAAAGGCTTCTCTTTGAAAGGCGTCAGTTAATAAACAACAGAATAGTTCCGAAGTAAGAAAAAAATTAGTTGATGCCTATACTTAAAACTCTCCTAGATCCCGAGGACTTCCGCTTCAGAATCTATTCGTGACATATCAATTCTTATCTAAATTGTTATTCAGTTAAAAAGCTTCCGATGAAACAAAGATAAGTTACCTGTTTAAGAGAAATAAGGATGATGCTACTAATGTCTCCAATATTCAAAACCACGTATTAATTATTTTGAGGCCGTACTTTACTGGAGAATATGTTTTTCTTAAATTAATCATTTCAGCTAGCGTGTATTTTAGTCTTACAAACATCTGATTCTTATAACTATGAGCTTGCGTTGTATATTTTAATGATATCGAATAAAAAAAATATCATTTTCCTCCTCAATTTTTCTGTGTTTTTACAACAGTCCGCCAGTCCACTTTAGGGACTTTAAACAAACCACGACGGTGACGGCAACGAGGATATGGAAAAACAAAAGATCTAATTGGCACAAAAATAGTTCAGCACGTGCATTTTAAAGCTTTGTACTTTCTTAGCCGTCCTCTGCAAAACAACAACGTGAAATCTCCACAATTTGCATCGTCTGCGAACCGAAACCGCGACGGCAAATTATTTTAATTTCCATTTGGAACTCAGCGCTTCTTTAATACGTTATGCTGATGTTGAGGTGTGGCGCCGTAGGAGACGGTAAACAAATGCAGCCATTCTCGAAATTCTAATTATAGGCAGAAATCCATTTTTTAATTGAAGTCTTCCTTAAAGTTACCCACCTGACTGCGTAAGGTCCCTTGTATGTTCTCTTCAACGTTTTAGAGTATTAAGCTCTTGTTGATGAATTATATAATAACTTTGAAACGATAAATGATGGAAAACAAGAGCTTAATTGCCTGACTTTTCGTCAACGACAGTCGATTTGCATACGTGCAACTTCCCCATGAGCTGTATTTAATTTAGCGGGGAATTGACCATCACCTTACATAGTTCATACCGATATAAGAGTTTATTATCTTCAATTGATAATCAATTATGTTACGATTTTCGTTACAAATACCTCTAAAAATTATTAACTTTGGAATAAACCCTATAGCTTATGCTTGCAAAAGGCTTCTCTTAAGAAGGCGTACATTATTTAACCACAGAATAATTTCGATGAAAGAAAAAAATTAGCTGATGCATATTCTTAAAACTATCCTAGATCCCAAAGACTTCCGGTTCAGAATCTATCCGTGACATATTATTTATTATTATATGAAAAAAAGATAAGTCACCTGTTTAAGAGAAGTACTGTTGATAATACATATGTCTCTAGTATTTCAGATCACATATTGATTATTTTACAGGCTGTACTTTACTGAAGAAGATGTTTTTCTTAAATTAATCATTTAAGCTGGCATGTATTTAAGTCTTAGAAACATCTGGTTGTTATAACTATGAGCCTGCGTTGCATATTTTAATGATATAGAGTAAAAAATATCATTTTCCTCCTCAATTTTGCTGTGTTTTTACAACATTCCGCTATATGTTCATTTGAATGTTTTAGAGCATTATGTTCTTGTCGAAGAAGTATATTCTATAATGCATCGACACAAACACACTTTTGTCATGTTCCTTTGAAAATGGTATCAAAATATTATCAAATTGTTTTTAACGTTTTGAGGTTATTTTTTTCTCATGACATAAACGGTTACCATATTAGCGCTACAACCCCGATTTTGCCTTTATTTGCTCGGTAGCCCCCTATTATATATAAAATTGCCGCCGTAAGATTTAGAAGAGTCGGGGAGAAGTTTGCCTTGGGCCTGGTAATGAGGTTACCAGTGCCAGGCCCCTTTCAGACTTCTGGCTGGCTCGCGTTGCTTAAGGCCTTTTACTTCTCGGCGGGCAAAGAAAAGCCCGCGCCGAAGTAATAATAATGATGGCGTGCTCGCATAACTTTCTCCATTTAAGTGTTAGATATCCAGAGGTTGTTCGTCTTTTCACGGCAATTCTTTTTTTTTTTTTTTTTTTTTTAGGAAAGAGATTGCATAGTTTAGAATGTTCACCGCAATTCTTGATTTTCTTTATCCAGGAAAAAAGCCTGGACGACTTACACAACCAACACACGGAGTACCTCCGAAAATAAATTTTCTGTTCTCTGCTCAGTCGAAAGGCAGCCGCTGTAATGACCAACATAAGTGACCTAGGCACACTTATACTCAAACTGCGTGCGCAGCTGTTGGTGTTCCCATGGCAACATGACCCTAGTACAAGGCACGTGACTAATCCTGCGCATGACATCATGCGTAATACTCATAACGTGTTCAAAGAATACTCTACCTTTCTCTTCACAGGTGAGATGTTTGGCGAAATGACATTGCTGGCTTGCCCGCAGACTTCCCCAACGGCTTGCGCCTTCGGCGCTCCAAACTTGCCTCGTCTTGTTCTGAAGTCTGGCTACGGCCCTGGTTGTTTATTATGTAGTGCTTTGAGATACGAAATTTACAAACACATAAAACAGGGCTGTATTTGCAGGGCTAGTATCTCAACTTCGCAAAGATATGGTAGACGACTCTCAGACTATTAACAACTGGCGGCTTGAAGCAG